CTTATAAGTCCCTAAAATAACCAGTTACTAAGTCCCCCGACCCTCCAAGTAGGGGTTTAGGGTGTAATTACAGTAGGGGTTGAGGGTTTAATTAGGGGTTTAGGGTTTAATTGGGGGTTGAGGGCTGAGGAAGGTGTCCTGCACAGGGTCCGTCGAGAGGCCAAGCTGCTTGTAACTGATGGGAGGCCAAAAGGGGGTTTAAGATTCTTGGGGTAGGGATTCCTTCATATGAACCCCATTATGGGAACCCTAATCCCTACTAAACCCCCATAGGCTAAAACCCCTTTTGGCCTCCTATGATTGTAGGCCTGGTGAAGATCAGTGGTCTTGATCCTGGGCACGGTCGGTTGCCCTGCACACTGGGGAACTCGCAAACGGCACGCCCAGGCTGTGCACACGACGTCGATTCCATGCGGCTGGATGGATTCCACTCTCTTGGTCGTGCTGTTGACCAACGACTCGCTGAAGTTTTCATATGGGCGGACCTTTCGTCGGCCAGCCGAGCTTTGTACAAGTCCACAGCGACTCGTCAGAGACCAGGGTCTCACGAGACATCCACACTGGCTCGAAAACTGGCGCTTGAAGATCCCGAGGAGGAGATGGGACCCGTGATGTCAAATCCCTCACAGATTTCGCTGGCGATACTAACCTATCACTATAGCTTGGGTACTGCCTCCGCCCTGTAACCGTCTATAGTAGGGGTAAAGAGTGGGGGCATTATCCAAGCCAGAACCACCAGCGAAGAGCATCTCGCCGAAAACAGGCACGCCCTTCAAGAAGCTAGACGAGTGGGCTGGAGCCTCAAACCCCTTGTTCATCAAGGAATACACCTTAGATCAGAAGACTATCAAGAAACGCTCTATGGTTTCAGGCATATTCCTGAATTACGGGGTATTGGGCTGTATGGTGTTTTCGTATTGGCGTGGAAGTATAACCACTGTCGGAGGCAAGACCCCAAAACCCATACCCTAAACCCAGAATTGAAAGTGGAAAGCTGAAACCTCAAACCCTTAACCTGACCCTACCCATTCCGAAGAAAGGCAATGCATGGTTGCTTCATCCGCGAGCTATAGGGCTTGCTGTGGCTTCGTCAGGCTTGTCTTCAAGGGTCTTTCTGTGGAGGAATATGCCTTAAACTCAGAATGAGAAGTCTTATTTAGTGGTATGTCATCTACTCTAACCCTGGCCCCCAGAAACCTCGAGACCCTAACCCCGAGAGCCTGAGGAGTAATGGAACAGGTATAGAGTTTAGGGCTTACTGAAAGCCGGTTGTCTAGCCTGAAGGTTTGGATGCCTGCCAACATGCCGGCGCGATATGTCGATTTTGCTACCGCCAGCAACCGGGGAAGGAGCAAGCTCTGACAACAAAGCCAAAGCGATCGTCCACGTCAGGGCGACTGCGACTTCAAGATCGCCCCCTATCGTGTCCTCCGCGATGTTGAAGATCTCTTCCATCGCGTCGTCTGGCGTAGTCGCAGTCGCGTAAATCATCGCCCTCGGCCAGACCTTGTTGTACCAGTGGCGGGCATTTGCTGCGAAATCTGTGGTGTTATCTGGAAACCCTCTTGCCCGAAGACAGCTAATTTCTTGCACTTCGAAGTAGGTTTTCGAATAAACTAGGTTTTCGAATAAACCCTGAATCCGGAATTCTAAACCCCAAACCCGAAACCCCAAACCCAAGGCCCCCTCATGCTCGAACTCTCATCTGCCTCCAAGGGCAGACAATATGTCGTGCTTTGCACTTGCCCAGACCCCCGGGAGGATCTAGAAAGTAGATCCCCTAATTTGGGGCCCTATACTACTAAGGGTATTTTATAAAAACCCCCACCAACTGATCTACTTTTTGGATTTTTTCGGGGGTCTGGGTGTCGGAGGCGTGGTCGGCAGCTTCCTTGCCTGCTGGCAGATGAGGCTGCTTCTCAAGCGAAGCTGCTTCGACCAAAAAATCCGAATCACTAAACTTCACTAAACGCACCAAAACCCCTCCACCCTAAAAGCCCTCCACCCCGGACCCAACAGTGCAGCCGGTGGGCGAGCCGTGGGCCATTTGCCACCGCAGAAGGCTGCTCGGCCACCATTCGGCAAACATGATTGGCAACTCCTTTCCCTCAGTCAACTAGACCTTTTTACGGCATGATCTAACACCACGCTAAGGAACCCTAGAAAGGTAGGTTTTCGTCTAAAGGTAAATGAGTCTCCAGCCTTACACACTTTTTGGGGTGTAGCGGGGTCTTTCCTTGGGGGGCTCCTCGGTGGTTGGGTTTGGGGTTGAACGTAATGGCCTTCAAAGTTCAGTCCTGTATCATGAGGGTTCATAACAGAGTGTGTCGGGCATAATGAGCTTGAGAATTCTATCCTGCAGGGTATTGGGGTAGGGTTTTGGCTTTACGGTTCAGGGTTTTAGGGTTTCAGGGATTGTGGCTTTAGTGTTCTGGTCTTGGCTTACAGAGTTTTAATTTAAGGGTCCCAGGCTGAGTGCATGCAAGGGCGACTGCATTTGCTTGAATCCGAAAGCCCTGAATAATAACCTTTTATCGTCCCAAGGTTCGAACTTTGTAGCAGGCTCACGGTCCAGGGTTCGGTGACTGTTTAGGGTTTACTAGGAGGGCCGGGAAACTTAGTAAGTAGCTATTTGTTAGACTTTGAAGTATGATACCCCCTTTTTGTTAGGGTACGTACAAGTCTCCCCGACCCTCCAAGTAGTAGGCTTAGGGTCTAGGGCGAAGGTGCTGTCGAGTGCTCGGTCCCAAGATTCAACCCCTTTTGATCCCCTGTAGCACCCTTGAAGGAATCCTTTAATAAGGGTACCCGAAACCCTAAACCCTATACTACTCAGGAACCTAAGAAGGCGGAGAGACTTCGCCAACTGTTGGAGGCTGCAGTCTTGCGAGGGGCTCGAAAATGAGGGGTACCTTACCTTGGCGCCCTGATAATAAGGATCCTAGGTTTAGGGTTTAGGGTTTAGGGATCTTAATTTTTAGGGTGCTGCCTTGGGGTTTATGTTCGGTCGCACTTCCCACCCAGGTTCTCCAGGAAGCCCTAAATAATGAGGGTAGCCTTTTCCTAATACTCAGCAAGGAGACCCCAAAATACAAAGGGTCAATGGGGACTACTGGGGAACCTAGCTACCAACTCTTAAGCTTACATGGTGTTTATCAGGTGTTGTAGCGAAGTTACAATCACATTATTACTAAGGTCTCCAGGCTTCTTGGTTGTTTAGGGTTCAGGGGTGTATTGTTTAAGGATCTAAAGGTGAAGGTCTAGGGATTTAGGGTTCGAAGGTTTGGGGCTTATTGTGTATACTCCTTTTTCGCGCCATGATAAGAAGTCCATGTAGCCATTCCCCCCACCTCGGCGGGGGTAGCGACGGCGGGAGTGATGGCGGGAGTGGTGGCGGGGGTGGTGGTGGGGGTGGGTGGCAGAAGCGCCTCACTCTTTGGAAGCTCCGCGGGATGTAAGTGAAGGCTGGTCTAGCCTCCTTGAAGGTCCATTCGCAGTTTATGGCTTTGGTTTACAGCCTAGGTTTTAGGGCTTGCTATAGAAGCCTGAACAATTACCAGTACTGCTGATGGACCAAATCCTGCATGACCCTAAGGACTCTAAACTATGGGAACTGTGGTATATTCCTTATAATGGGTAATGCAGGATTTTGTCCATCAACAGTATGGCTTTGGTTTAGGGCCTAAGCTTTAGGGCATGCTATAGAAGTTGAAGAATTACCAGTACCACTCCTTACAATTCCTTAACATATGTATAGGCAGGATTGTTACACCATGTCCAACACCCAGTCTAAGTATTCAAGGCACTTTATTCGGGCTTGGGGCTATACCCCCCCTTAGAACCATAATCACAATAATATTTTGATATTCTCCTGGGTTTGATATGAACAAAGATAAGACATAGATCCTAAGGAGACTACAAGGGGGTTTGTGGAACTCGAGGAGTCAGTTTGCTCGAAGATTTAGGTCCGAGACTTGGGCCCGCGATAAAGTCTTACTCCTGCTCCGTCTTAAAAACTGTACTATGCATTAGAACGGGCCCCCACCCTGTAATAGTGACTATCAGGATATATGAGGATGAAGTTAGGGCCCTGTTCTATTCCTATTATACCACTATTACAGGGTGGGGGCCCCTTCTAAACTACAAAAGCTTGACAGGACCTGCCTTACAGTTGCTGTTATGAGGGTCTGTGTTTACGTATGCACAGCCACATAGACATAGAAATACATGTAGAAGTGGCTACACCGATCAACGTGCACGCCATCGTCCTTCCTCGTATATATATATATACATAACCTATACCAACAGACACATACACATGTACAAACTTGTACTAGTACACTCTGCATATGTATAGGTGTATACATGCAGATATACATTTGTACATACATAACATACATGCATGCAAGCATGCATGTTTGCATGCGCACCCACATACATACATGGATACATGCGTGTTCTGAATTGGCGTTTGGAGCTTGAGATCTCACGGTTAACATAGGGGCCAAACAGTTGAGACCATGGTCTTATAGTCGTACGCAACTTTCAGGGTTTATACGGGTAAGCGCTTGAGTTTCTATGTTTCTCTAAGATGGGGTTTGCGTCGGTTCGGGCGCGGAGATTTGGGAGCAAAGGGGGCTCGGGGTTAAGGTTGCAGGATTGGGCCGAAGTTGCGGTTTAGGGTTTATGGCCTAGGCTTTAGGGTTTCCGGGTCTACGGCGTAGAGGTTTTGTGTTTCGGGGGTTGAAGGTTCGGGTAGTTGCTGGTCAAAAATCCATAACCAGGTGTCGATGTCAACAGTCCTAAACATTACGTATAATCAGGGCTTCTTAAATAATGAGGGAGATGAAGCAATATCCCAAATCGATACCTAGATAAACATGGATAGCTCGCTGTATCTCGCTCCTAACATGGCATGCATGTGCTCGTGCTGCTTCAAGCGGGCCTGGGACCCTAACCTCACTGTACACCGCCGACTAAGGAGGCTTCAGCAGATCGCATCAAGCAAAGAAGAAGCGTCCAGTTGCCTCTGTTGACAGGCTTTTTTTGCTTGGAAGGATTGTTTAAGATTCAGGCGTTTGCAGTTCAGGTGTTGAGTCCCTAAACCCTAAACCGGCGGTGTTGAGTGTGTAGGCTTGTGCAAGATGAGGCTCAGGGGGTTTGGCGGATTGAAGGCTAAGACTCTTGGATTTGGGACTTTCCCGAAATTAGAGTACCTGTTTTGGAGTCCGTGTAATAAGGATCCTACTGTTTAGGGTACTATATTAGGGCCCCCTATTTCCGGAATCTCCCATTTAGGCTAATATGGAACCTGATTAGGAAACCTTGGGCCTTTATCAGGGTTCCTTATATGAGTCCTACTATTTTGGGGTTTCTTTCTCGGGTTCCTACATTAGGGTCTTAAGGGTTCAGTGGTTTCAGATCGGCTGCTGGAGATGTTGCTGGAGTCGCTGCAGCGGGGTGTGTGAAGCTGTACCGGGTCAGACCGGGTGTTGCGCCAGACTTGCGGTAAAGTTTGTTATATACGTATATACATAAATGATTATGTATGTATGTATGTATGTATGTACATTTAGATATAGATACTTAAATAGACAGGTAAATAGATAGATATTCGGCTTGTGCCGTGCCAGTGTTCGTCCACAGACCTTAACTCCTCAAGACCTAAATTCTGCGCCGAACAAGCTTTACCTTTGGTCAGTAGGGAATGGAAGAATGGTAGTAGTAGTAGATATAATTGTACCCCATTCCTTCATTCCCTACTAACCAAAGGTAAAGATCCCTTAAAGGAACCCTAAACCCCTATAGATCCCTTAAAAGGAACCCTATAGATTCCTTTAAAGGAGCCCTATTCTCTACTAGCCAAAGGTAAGAAGCGGGCCAATCGATGCTATACTTGGAGGATCATTGGACTTAGTAAGTAGGGTTATAAGTACCCTGATTGGGGTTATAAGTAATTATAAGTATAGTTACCCAAATTCTAACCCTAGTTACTAAGTCCCATGACCCTTGACCCTATAAGTAGAATTCGCTCCGCTCGTACTTGTACTTGGTGGGTCGGAGGTCTTATGTAGTAAGTAGCTATTCTATAAACGTGTAACCCCAATTAGGATGCCCTTTTGGAGTGCGTATCAATCTACCTTTTACCTACTTACTAACTAAGTCCCCTGACCCTCCAAGTAGGATCGTGGGACATAGAATGTTTGGAATAGTGGCAATAAGTCAATACCTGGGGTTGGCCTACTTCTGGCCCTTCCTAGAACCCACTTACCAAGTCCAGTGAGCGTCTAAGTAGAGCGCTCGAAGCCGTCTGGCAGCAACAGCTGTTTCACACACTTTGCAAGTCAACAGCTCTCTCTTCAACTGAGTAAGGCTTAAAGCCCGAAGACAGCACAATACTGCTTAAAGGATCTTCTGAGCCATCAAAAGGAACCCCCCTCTTATACTTGAACCCCTAAACCCCTAACCATGTGGCTCTCAACCCTTGATAAAGACCTTATTTAAGTAGGAAAACTGGAGGGCCGCTTGTGACCCCTCACTAGGAGCGTCGAGGGACTTCGTGAACAGATATCATAAAAGCCTAGGAAACCCGAAACCCTAAGCCCCAAGTAAACCCTAATCCTTGATCCCTAAACCCGAAACCCTAAATCCTTACCTACCTACTAAGTACCCCGACCCTCCAGGCCCTCAACCGAGGATCGCGCCTCGTGCCAAAACCATGGCTTGCAAGTGTTCTCGTCCAGATACTTTGTCCTGCCATGCGGTTTAGGGTTGAGAGCGTGGGATTTTGCAGAAACTCCAATAGAGCTTCAACCGTGAATCATGTTCCGGAGCCCTTCAAGGAAGAAAATGCCCTAAATTCAGACATCATGCCGAGGACCCCTCTATGATAGGAGATATTTTGCTCTTATGTAAGGGGCTTGCTTTAGGTTTAGTGCTTGAGGATCGAGCAAAGGACCCTGAGCAGGCACACATGATGCGGGCTGGCTTTGGTGTTGGTTCAGGTTTCCTACTTGTCGAGTATCCTGGGGAACTAAAGGTTAACCTTCGGGAGTATATCGGAATTGTATAGGGGCTATGGTATCCCAACAGGGTTAAAGGTTACCTACTCTACTACTAGGGTTTAGGGCTTGAGGCTTTGCATTGGTAGTGGGAGAGATAGGCACAAGCAATGACAACGAGCCTAACAGTCATGGTACAAAAGAACGACCGTCCCTAATGTTAACAACAACAGTAGTGATGATCGTCGAAGTCAGCAAGACACTTTAGTATCGATAGTATAGCAGACCTGATGCTCAGGTTTCGTTAGCTCGTTAAAGAGTGGGCAGCAGCGAAGTTCTTAAATAACAGCTTCTTGTTTTCGAACGCTATTGAAAGTTTCTCCGGTAACTAGTTTTCAGACTCACTGGTGTGAAGCCATGAACTGGGGACTTGTTTTAGTTGAAGCAAAAAGGACTTCACCTTAATCACGACACATCGCCGCGAGAAGAGGTGACTTCAACTCCGTCGGTAGCAACTCAAAAGACCGTACCCACAAGCTGCAACCCACGCACCTTAAGGCAAGCGTCCGTGGGACCAATGCACGAATACCCCCTGAACCCCAAAGTCTCAAAGCCCCGAAACCCAAAGGCTATCTTCGAATGTGTCGGTCGGACCAGCCACTGTTCGAGTCGCCCTCGTTGAAGGACTCCTCAAGGCGGGATGGCTTCTGCTTCTGGTGCGTGCTTAGAGGGTCGGGGGACGTAGTAAGTAGTTCTCAGACTTATAAGTATGAAAACCCCAATTAGGATCAGTTTTTAAGGTAATTGTAAGTCGAATAATTACTTCCTTCCAACTTCACCCGAAATGGATCCGTTCAATCCTGCGTTGAAACCCTATAAAGCCCCTTTCCGCAGGCCTCGTACCCAGGGAGGATCTCCTAATTTGGGGCCTTATACTACTAAGGGTGCTTTATAGGAAACCCCATTAAAGGATCTACTTTTTGGATCCTCCCGGGGGTTTGGGTATACAACCCCAAATCCCGACTTCCTAGTCCCCGTGACCGTGGGCCCTAAACCTTAAACCCTAGATCCTAAGCCCTGAATCCTTAACCCTAAGTCCTTAACCCTAAGTCATCCACAAGCCCTTGCCCCTTAACCCTTTATCCTAGGCCGTACATCCTCAACCCTAAACCCTTAACTCTTAATCCTTAGACCCTAAGCCGTAAATCCCGCACCCTACACCCTTAACTCTTAATCCTTACCTTAACCCCAAATAACCTGCCCCCTTTTTTATAAAAAGAAATCATGATGGGGAATCCTAAAAAAGGTAGGTTCCTTGGGGTCCAGGTAAACCCTAAACTGCTTTTTGCTTAAGAACCCCCCAAAAATAAAAAATATTCCTTATGGGGGTAATATAGGGATTATTATGTTTTATTTTTTGGGGGTTTCTTAAGCAAATAGTAGTAAACCCTCGTCCCGGGGAGCTCCTGAGTGGTTGGGTGAAACCACTCACCCGGAGCGCGCTGCTCCTGGGCAGAGATGGTCTGGCCCAGGGTTCCGTGGCCGTTTTCTTTTGGGGGCGGGGGTGTTGGGATAGGGTTGTGGTGTTTGGGTTTAGGGTTCCGGTTGAGGGTTCTAGGTTTTAGGGGTGTTCCGGGCTTCATATTGGGGCCTTACGAACTGGAATAGGCTTTCTTGACAACTTCCTACGACGGCGTTGTAATTCTGTAGGGTTGAACCTGGGGGCATTCATCAGTAGAACAGGGTCTTACGAGTTGTGTTTATCAGGCTCTATATAGGGTTTAGATTGGATGTTTCAGGTATAGCTGTTTTGGGGCTTAGGGGGGAGGGTTGAAGCAAAGCCTTGGTTGTAGTACGCGGCTTCCGCGGCCTTCCTAAGGTCGGTAGACAAGAACGTAGGTTGGATGCAGAATCGAGATCTTTAACTAGACTCAACATGCTGCTCAAACACATCACAAGGGCTTGACTTTTCTCGCAAACCCTCAAGCCAACAAGCCCTAAACCCAAACAGAACCTCCTCAAACTCACATCTCCAAGTCTCCGAACCCTAAACCTCTAAGCCCTACGAGTACCCACTAGGAGCTAAAATTTTCTGATACAACACGTGAACATAAAACCCTAAAGTCTCCAAAAACCCTAAAGTCTCTCAGTATCTTTGACATGTTGAGCATTACATATCTAATGTTCTATATGCTATATATTTATTTAAGGGCCTTTATTGTACATTAACCCTGTCATAATGTATACTAATTTATCAACCGGTGTTTGTTAATCGATTTGATGTTATCTGCTTATAAGAAAGTTTATACGGACTATATGCAGCTTTTCGTCTTATTTGTTATATATCGTACATGTGTGTGGGTATATGTATATAAACCATGTTATTATCATTATTCTTATTGTCTTCATAATATATATATATATATACATATATATATATGTATGTATTTCTCACGAGCTGGGCCCTGCACCCAGCCAAACATTTGCTGGCTCAGAGGATCCTTGGGCTTTCTTTACAGCTCTGGTTCTTAGTAGGGAATGGGGTTCCTTTAAGGGTTCCTTTAAAGGGCCCTATAAGGGTTCTATAAGGGTATTTATAGTCCCCGGCTGGTTCTTAGTAGGGAATGGGGGAATGGATCCCTTTGAGGATATAGGGCCTCTTTAAGGGGATCCTTTAAAGGGATCTCTGTTTCCGGAAACCAATACCCCCCAAGCCTCAAACCCCTAGACAATGGAGGTTTCAGAGAAGTACGGTTGATGATTTAAACCCTGCATTACCTTAAGGACCCTAAACTATGGAAACTATGGTACTTTCCTTGTTATGGGTAATGCAGGATTTATATCATCAACCGTAGGGGCTCCTGTTGAAGGGCTCTGAAAAACATGACTTTGCTAGTAATGGCGCTGGGGCCCTTGGGGCTTTTTTCAGAGTTGGGCCTTAGAAGGGGCCCCCACCCCTGTAATAGCGGTATAATAGGAATATAATAGGGCCCTAATATAATCCTTATAGTCACTATTACAGGCTGGGGCAGCTTCTAAGAAATAGGGTTTGGGGCCCCTTTATAGTATAGTTTTATGAAGGAACCCCACCCAAGATAGTATAGGTAATTATCTACTTACTCCCCCAACAAACCACACAACTAGAAGGCTAGACTTTCTGATTCCCACTAAACTGTAAGAGCCTACAAAGTTCAAAGGTTGGGTGTTGGGGATCTAAGTATACTAAGTGAGCAGCACATGTGGCCTCTTACCGAACCCATTCCCGCCCGCAATTTCCCGCTTCAGCTATCCTTACTACATTTGCTGCCATGAACAACGGCGAACATCATGATGATGAGGATGATTACTGGTTGATGCTTTGGATACTGTCGCTGTTCTTCTGTTGCGTCAGGGCGGAGGTGAACACATCGTAGATTCTGGGGAACATGAATCAGAAAGCCCCGCACCATCTAAAAAGAGAATCCCAACCTCAGCGGAGCACCAAAAGCCGTTCCCGACCCCAAACCCTTAGTATAGGGGCCTTAATAAGTAGAATTGGGTTTTGGGGGCCATTATACCATACTTATAATAAGGAACCATCAGAATGGCTTTTGTAAGCCCTGAAGCCTAACTATTAAGGCCCCTATATTGGACCATAATGCATTCAGGTTGCATCCGTTTCCGAGGCCCTCGGTTTCAGCCGAGACTCAGGGCTTACAACTATGGAAACTGTGTTGAAGCTTCTATAACAGCCATAGAGAGCTTCTTTCTCAGTTATACTTTATTTGTAAATAAAGGATCATGAATAAATAAATATACATAAGTATATATATATATATATATATGTATATGTATATGTATCTTGGTTTAGGACTGGGGGGTCAGCAGTCAGGGTCTAGGCCACAAGCCTGCTAAGCCCGAGGCCCAGAACCTTTGAAGGCTTTCAGTCAAAGGGGAAAAGCATTGCCCTTAATGGGGACCCCTACCCTATAATGGGCTATATAATGGGTATATAGTAGCTATATTAAGGGTATATACCTAGGGGCCCTTATTAAAGGTCCCTCCTTTTACCCTTGGATTCAGCAATGAGCCAGTAGAACTAAATCCTAAACATTACATGGGAATTTCCAAATTATTTTGGGGTCCTTCTAATAAAGCTGCTACTATTTAGGGTGCTATATTGGGGTCCCCCATTTTTCGGAAACTCCCATATACTATAATACTATAATGCACGAGGGTATACCATAATACGCTATAAAAGATTATATAATACGGATCTGTCTCCTGTTTTCGGAAACTCCCAAGTCTAGACAACCTTGTAACTATACTGAACTTAGGACCCCAGCAACAATTATAATTTTAGCTGTTTCTTAGGGATTATAATAACAAAAAAATAAAACTAAAACTAAGTACCCTTAGGGTACGACGGGGGGTAGCGGAGGGGGCCTCCTGCTGCAGGTTTAACGATTTGAGCAAGCATGACAACCTGGGATTAGCGTGTGCGGTTCCCCAGAGAGCCCAATACCCCTTAATTAAGGAATATAGCCTAAATCACAATATGAAGACCCTTATAATTTAAGGTATATTCCTTAATTAAGGGGTATTGGGCTCTCTGGTTCGAAGGTTCAGAAGCTTTTCCAGCCGTTTCGAGCTCTTGGAAGCCTAGGGTTCTGGATTTCGGGCGAGCGCCACGACCCTGTTGTCATTTGCAAAGTTCCACAAGTCCCTTGAAATTTTGGCTTCGCAAGCATCTGCAATCCCTTGCAAGCAGCGCGAACCTGCAAGCGCTAGAAAGGGCACAACGTGTAAACTCTAATTGCAAACTTGCTCCCTCAGGCGTAGCGGGTCCCACCACAATACAACGTTGCGGCAGGTTAAGGTAAAGCTTAGATTTGGAGCCACTAGCCCATTATAGGAGTCGGAAGAATGAGGAATAGCATTACCCGTTCGAACCTTTCCCAGCTTCCTGAGTGGCCCCTTAATCACTAGGGTACCCATTGTGCTACTGTTTGTTTTGAAATACCGGAACCCTAAAGGAAAAAGCGCAAAACGGTATTACTCACGAACCTAGCTATAGTGTACGCCCAACACCAAAATCCCTGTATAACCACACAAGAATCTATCCGAAGAACACTCTATCCGCCCCGTGTCAACTGTTGAGGAGCCTTGTTTTGTTTCAACCGCAAAGGTTGGATCAAATGGCCATTGCAACGTATGAGTACGAACTACCGTTGGAATTGCTACTTGCTACCTGGTATTTTCAGGGCACATTTCATGACTATTATCGTGCTGTTTTGCATCCTACAACGTTTCGACTTGGAGCATCAGTAAGGGTTTATTTGCTCGACAAGCAAAAGACATCTTGGAGATGCTGCAAAGAGCGGAGGGCGGCTGAAGTGCGGCAAAGTTTGAGTAGCGTGCTAAACATAGTGCTAGGTGTCTGATCCTTACCAAACAAACCCAGAACTGCAAACTCTGTGTACAACACAAATCAAACACACCTTTCCGACCCCACACAACCAAAGTGCATCGCTACACCCAAGCCCTGAACTCAAAGGTTGTCTTTGCGTCCAAGCTGTCCTGCAGACTCTGGGATTTGACTCGCTGATATCACAGAGCTTGGTCAGTACAATTACCTGAAGAAGGAACCTCCTATAGGGCTTGCTGTAAGGGGTTAGTCTGTCAAGTCCTACCTAAGATGCGTCACAAAGCTCGAGGCTTCAACCCGAAAAGCGATCGAGTCGACCAGAATACAGGTACGGTTCCTTTATATACTGTAGCCGAGAAGTGGAAAGCAATGTTGCCCAACATTGCCCTACATGCGACGTGAAAAATGCGGGGTTCAGGACATTTTGAACCTTGGGGGTGCGCCTTAATGGAAGTCCAAGTGGCATTGTCGAGAGTGTCGTCTCTTCTTTTGCAGGCCTCTCGCTTTGGCGATCCAGAGCAAACTGACAATGAACTGCTAGAGGTGATTGTTCAACAGATCGCGGATCAAGGCTGCAAGCAGTTCATCTAATCTAAAAAGCGTATATAGGGGGATAGAGCTATCGCGAGTTGGGGCTCTTACACCAATGACCCCAAGCCCCAAACTCGTGGCATGCTCGCGCTGGTTGTTCCTTCTTCTCGGCCCCCAGTCGTGCTTGAATAGATGGCGCCTTGCATATGGGTAGTTGTCAAAATTAACGTCCCTCTGTGGGTACCCTAAATAATGGGTGCCGTATTATAATAGGGACCCAAATAGGGACCATAATTTTGACACCCACCCACGTGCAAGGGATGGCTGGGGAAGTTGTGGCTTCTTGCGATTTCAGGGGAAGAAGACTCCGTCCACTCCTAATCTTATTGAAGTCAAGGAAGGTTGCTGCACGAACTGGCTTCTGATTGAGGCGGGTCTCTCGTAACAGTTAGGGGCGGAGTTTAGTCTGATAGCGGCCCAAGGCAGCAACCACCGATCATCACGACTGCCTAATATGGGGGCCTAATTGCCAATACTATCATTTTGAGAGTTCATTATCATAGGTATGGTATACTATCCAGAAATCCTATTCTAGCCGCTAAGGCCCCGATAAAAGCTTTCGCTTCAGCTTTCCGGCGTGCAGTCCGGCAGTTTCCCCGCTGCCCATCTGCTGGTGGGTCTCTACCTCCTTCTCAGGATGTACTCAGATAATCGAAACTCCCTTTCTTAAGCACTATCATTGAAATTTGAAAGATCCTAAGTACACGGATGGTATATTGCTGAATGCAAGGGTTGTGGAGTGTCTGTCTGGGAGATGCTCCAACCTGGCACACGCCAAGGGCCCTGCACGCAGTGGAAACCCTAAACCCTAAATCAAGCGGGACTAAACTCAGAGACTCGTAAAGCCTTTGCTTAAGCAGCACCTGAAATCATAGTTTAGGGTTTAGGGCTTTAGGGGATCACGCCAAAGCTTGAGTTGCATGGCTTGTATAGGAATAGACCTTAACTCATATCCGAGTGCCTCATGAGCCCAAGGTACAGAGGCCCCATGAATATACTCACTTACACAATCAGAATACGGTTTTTTGGTATTGTTCTAGATCATAGACTCTATCGTCTGGAGCCTTCCCAAGGGCACCCGACGAGTCTATGCTTTCTTACTTGGAGAGTCGGGGGACTTGGTAAGTAGGCAATAAATAAGTAAAAGTAAAAGCGATTCTCCTCATGGTTTGCTGCTTTTGTCTTCAAAATAGGTACATACTAAGTCTCCCGACCCCGCAAGTGGGCAAGCCTGAAGCCGTGCAGAATGGCCGTAAGATTACATAGGACCGTTGCCAAGCCGGCCCGAAACTCTCCCTTGAGCCTTCCAACGCTGGGGCTCTCACGCTTCTGCCATGACTTCCCATGGTGCAGGCGAGTCGTCTGCCGTGCTTTGTGTTGGCATGGTGCTCGATGCGGCTGGCCTGTTCGGGTGCAGGGTTGAGGGGTTTATCAAGCCAACCCCACACTTTCCGTTGAGCCATCCCACGCTGAGGCTCTCACGCTTCTGCCATCACTTCCCATGGTGCAGGCGGGTCGTCTGCCGTGCTCGGCGCTGGCACGGGCCTGTTCGGGTGCAGGGTTGCGGAGTGGAAACCGTCCTTTAAGTAACTGGGTGGAAGGTAGAGCAGCAAGTGCTATTTTGACCTGTGTCAAAGTGAACTCATTAACATCTTAGGTACTGCCCCCCCCCATACAGTAAGTGTCTATAATAGGGCTACTACTAAGGTCCTAGTATATCGAAACTATAAATATTATTCAACTATTACTGAGCAGGGGCCGTACCCAGTTCACATCTGAAAAGCATTTCACAGCCCTCACAAAAAAAAACACTTCGCGGTGTTGACTTGCGGCGAACTTCGGAGAATCACCTGTTTTGGGGTCCTATTGTCCTGGCTGCTGTATGTGGTACCAACGCTTGAAACAGAGCAATACAGGGGCCCCAGCGGTTAGAAGAGGGTTTTGTGGTATTTCATACTATTGATCGGTGTTTATTGAGGCCCCTGGAATAATATCACCAGCTGCTTAGGCTCCGACTCTCTGCAAGCAATGGCCGAATAAAGGGGCCTTAATAATTAGAATAGGGCTTTTGGCGCCCATTGTACTTTCATTATAAGGAACCCCCACAACAGTATAGGCTCCCGTATGAATCCACTATAGTAGGTCCTCCGTCTCTCTGTTTTTGCGCTCGTCAGATTCGTTAGTTCCTCCCTCCAAAACTGAACTCCTCCAGTATCGTACCATAACGTTCTATAAACAGAAGAGAACAAACCCTCCCTTATCGTCCTCTTGATGTACGGCTTCAGCACAGCCCGAACCCTACTGCTGGGGTTCTCACGCTTCTGACGTCGCCACCCATGGTGAAGACATCTGCGCTGGCGCGGTGCTCGATGTGGCTGGCCTGTTCGGGTGCAGTGCTGCAGGGTTTCAAGCTGTACGTACCATAGGCCTGTTCTAAAACCAACCCAAACCCACCCTTGAGCCCTCCAGTGCTGGGGCTCTCACGCTTGTGCCGCTGCTGCCCATGGTGCACGCAAGTCGTCCAACGTGCTTTGCACGGTCACCGAGCTCGATGCTGCTGGCCTGTTCGGGTGCAGAGGTGAGGAGTTTAAAGCCATTGACTTGTAGCGTCTGTTTGAAACTCGGAGTCCTGTCAGACATTCGGAAGGTAAAGCAGCAAGTGCTGTGTTCGACCTTTTGATAATAAACGTATTAAACGCGCATTTACGCGTCATGCACAGCCGGAGTCAGCGTGCAGCACGCAAAAAGTCGAAAAAACACGAAAAGTCGAAAACCACGAACAACGCAAGAAAACACGAACAAAGCAAACCACACAAACAACTCTCAAGTACTGTTTCTATTTCCACCTACACCTACTCCTATTCTTGCTCTTACTGTTCGAGAATACTACTGCGCAACTACACAACTACTTCGACCCTACGTCGTCTACTACTACTACTACTACTACTACTACTACTACTGCTACTGCTACTGCTACTGCTACTGCTACTGCTACTGCTACTGCTACTGCTACTGCTACTGCTACTGCTACTGCTACTGCTACTGCTACTGCTACTGCTACTGCTACTACTACTACTACTACTATAACTACTATAACTGCTATAACTACTATAACTACTATAACTACTATAACTACTCCTACTCCTACTCCTACTCCTACTCCTACTCCTACTCCTACTCCTACTACTGCCACTGCCACTGCCACTACCACTACTACTACTACTACTACTACTACTACTACTACTACTGCTACTGCCACTACTACTACTACTACTACTACTACTACTACTACTACTACTACTACTACTACTACTACTACTACTACTACTACACTACTATACTACTCCTTTTCCCACTCCTACTGCCACTGCCACTGCCACTACTACTACTACTACTACTACTACTACTACTGCTCCTCCTCCTCGTCTTCCTCCTCCTCCTCCTACTACTTCTATTACTTTTGTCATTACTAATTACTAGTGCTATTGTCGCTATTGCTTTTTCGCGTTTTCGAGTTTGTAGTGCTTTTAGTGTTTTTGGCGTTTTTCGCGTGCACCTGAGCGCCTCCGCTTAGCTGAGACACACAAAGCGTTTCCACAGAAATCCCGGTCTTCATTTCTAGCATGGTTGGATGTTCACCTGTTTGGGATCACATTGTCCGAGTCGCTGTATTTCCATTCCAAGTATTGATATAGAGAGCCTGCCTGCGAATGATATCAACAGCCGCTCAAGCTCCTCAAGTAAAGACTCTAAGCGACGATCAACTTAGTGCTATCTCGCTAGGCTTTCTGTTGATCAATTCTAGCGGATCGTCAAATTCATTAGTTCCTCCCTCTAAAACTGAAACCCCCCCTAATGAAGAGAAGCTTGGCCAGCCCCAGACCCTCGTTATCGTCCTCTTGATGTAAGGCTTCAGCACAGCCTGAACCCTACTGCTGGGGTTCTCACGCTTCTGTCGTCGCCACCCATGGTGAAGACATCTGCGCTGGCGCGGTGCTCGATGTGGCTGGCCTCTTCGGGTGCAGTGCTGCAGGGTTTCAAGCTGTACGTACCATAGGCCTGTTCTAAAACCAACCCAAACCCAACCTTGAGCCCTCCAGTGCTGGGGCTCTGACGCTTGTGCCGCTGCTGCCCATGGTGCACGCAAGTCGTCCTCCGTGCTCTGCACTGTCACCGAGCTCGATGCTGCCGGCCTGTTCGGGTGCAGAGTTGAGGAGTTTAAAGCCATTGACTTGTAGCGTCTGTTTGAAACTCGGAGTCCTGTCATGTATTCGGAAAGTAAAGCAGCAAGTGCTGTGTTTTCGACCTATTGGTATCCCAAATTCAGGGGCCCAAACATTCCAAACCGAGGGACCGACAAGTTCAATTTCAACCCTTGACCAAACCCCGCTTTCAACTTCTTGCATGGTGGTATAATCACCTGTTTGGTTTTACATCCCAAAGGCTCCATGTACCCACATAGCAGGTACTTAGGCCTTAAAGTACCCATATAGGGACCCCTTTAAGGCCTAAGGAACTACTATATGGGTACATGGAGCCTTAGGGCATCGTCCGGGTCGCTCTATTTTGCTGCCAAGTACTGATATAGAGAGCCTGCCCGCGAATGATCTGAACAGCCGCTCAGGCTCCTCAAGTGAACACCTTAAACCACTCCACCATATAGTACTATCTCGCTAAGCTTTCTGTTGTTCTTTCGCGGTATACCGTCAAATTTACAAGTACCTCCTTTGAGAGGGTGGGCAGATCAGTCGGGATTTGCTCCGAGTAAGAAGCCTGAAACGAAACTCTGCTCCAACTTAGCAGCTGCCCTTCCCTCCAACACTGCAGCCCCGCAGAATGGTGTCATAAGCTTCGTTTTGAAGCCAACCCAAAAGCATCCCCAATCGTCTTTTTGGTCTACGGATTTAGAGGCCTACCCTGCTGGGGTTCTCACATGTCTGCCATTGCTGCCCATGGCGGTGGAGGCAAGTCGTCCGCCGTGCTCTGCGCGGGCACCGCGCTCGATGCATCAGGCCTCTTCGGGTGCAGGGTTCAGAGTTTTAAAGCTTTAAGATTAGCAGCTGTCGAAAACTCGGAGTCCTTTCAAGAGAACCTGGTCGGAAAAACGTAGCTCAAAGAGTGATTATTTAAATTATTTATCCTCGGCTTCTGCATTGATGGGTCCACAATGTAGTCTGCGAAGACTGTGAAGGTTGTTAAGTGGGAACCTGAAATGGAATCTGCGGTGGCGACGGTTTGGTTGCTCTGACCCACTCACGGCCGTTGCGCCGAGGGCGTGCTCGTAGGCTTGGGCAAGAGACCTGCCGGTAGGGTTTTTGGTCTTCGCCGTGGCCCTCCTCGTGCTGTTTTCTTCTTGCTCCGTGGCCACTCCGCACCTTCACTCACTCACAGCTGCGGGCGGGCAAGCGCTGCCGGCCAGCAACAAAAAACGGCCGGCGTACTGCATCGGATCTGAAAAGGCCGGCGGCCGGACAACATACAGCAACAGCAACAGCAACGGCAACAACCGCAGCAGCAGCAACAATAATCCACGACCAACGACAACAAAGCACCACTTCTGCACCCACAAGCTTCAGACCCAGCAGTAAAACCTAAAACCGCTACACCCTAGATCCCCAAAGCCCTAAAACCCCAAAACTGACTGACTGACTGACTGACTGACTGGGGTTTAAGTTCCAGAATACTGGTCATGACTATAGTTGTCCTATGTATGACCCCGATTATAACTAGCCATGAACCTCCAAGTACTGCGTGGAAAAGCGCTCTACGCTGAGCAGGCCCCAGTAAGGGGATATCACGCAGGAAACCGCGCTTGCGGTCAGTGAAACCGAGGGAAGGGCCCCCTGAAGACAGGAGCCTCCCTTCACCCACAACAGCTGTACTTGGAAGTTCATGGGTAGTTGTAAGTGGGGTTGTCCTAGAGGATAACTAAAGTTATAAGCCATATTAGGGGACTTATGACCCAACTTACAACTACCCATGAACCTCCAAGTAGTGTGTCACACGCAGCCAGAGAGACTGATAAGACGGAAGGAAGGGCGGACCCACTGAGTAACCCGCGCGTGCCACAGCGGAGCCAAAGGGGCGAAGAAGGTGGAAGAACGAGAGTTGAGACCACCTTCACTCGCCTCCTGAGCCCAAATGGTCTTAGAAACCCCAAAACACGAAATCCTAAAACCCTGAACCCCAAAACCCCTAAAATCCCAAATGTATCTATCTGTTGGATCTTCCAAAGCTTCAGCGTCTTCCGAATGACCCCTCAGTTGGACAGACCTGAAGCCCTTACCACCAACACTACCAAGCCCCAAACAAACCAGTACAATCCGTAAGCACCCTATAACAAAGGCCTTTTTGCTAACTCGAACCCTCATGCATCCCTACACCTTACCTGTATCCCCCAACACTGCTCATGACCCCCGTCATTCTAGTGTGTAACCCCTAAAACACACTGTTTGAGGATTGCCCGGTGAACCCTATAATTTCAGACCCAGACCCCAAACCTCTAGACCCCTAACCCCTAAACCCTAAACCCCTAAACCCCGTAAACCCCTAAACCTCTAGACCCCTAAACCCTAAAACCCTAAACCCCGTAAACCCCTATAGTGAACCCCAGAAAGTTGGAACATGGATTTAGGAGGATCAGTGCTAGGATTCCCTATGCCTTGCTTTAAGGGCATGAGGCTAATGATGTTCCAACTTTCTGGCTTCTACTGTAAATCCCCGTAACCCCCACACCTCAGACCATCAGGGCGCTTCCTGTTGATGATATAAATCCTGCATTACCCATAGTGAGGAATATACCATAATTCTTATAGTTTAGGGTCATTGAGGTACTTGGAGGATCATGGGACTTAGTAAGTAGGGTTATAAGTACCCTAATTGGGGTTATAAGTAAGTATAAGTATAGTTAACCCGAATTATAGTTGCTAAGTCCCATGGCCTTTAAGTAGGAGTATACCATAGTTCCCATAATTTAGGGTCATTAAGGTACTGCAGGATTTCGTCCATCAACAGTAGTAAGTAGGGCTCCTTAAAGGGACCCTTAAAGAGATCTATAAAGGTTCCATAATATTAAGGTAAAGCAGGATTTTTATCATCAACCGTTCCGTCCCCATCAGCCGCCTCCTTCCTTCCAGGTCGAGGTCGAGAGCAGCAGCCTCGGTGGGCTCTCATGTAGGAGCCCTAATAAAGGCCCAAGGTTTCTTCATCAGGTTCCTACGTTAGGGTTGTAAGTAGGCTCTCCCTGAAACAGGGCACTTATAACATGCAATATAACCTCCTGGCTGGCTTCGAGCCTCAGCTTCCGTTCCATTTTCCCTCAAGGTTCATTAAGGGTTTAGGGGTTTCCTTTATGAAGGAATGTCGGCTTCCTTTCAGAGTTCCTTCATGAAGGAATATGAGAGGTTCAGCAGATTGGGGAACATATAGCCCCAAAGAAAAGCACCTTGATTATAAGGGCCCAAACAGCGTAACTCTAGTGTTCTGAAACCCACTGTGTCGAGGTTTCTGACATGGGATTTGTGCTGAGGTGGTCCTTGTGTAAGACCTTACCTAAACTCAAAGCTTTCGAGGAGTGCTTAGAGTCCTTAGTCTAATTATGGCGGCACCTACCCCAAACTGTAAACCCTTAAACCCTAAACCACTAAACCCTAAACTCCTCAACCTGAGACCCTAAATGCTACACCCTTAAACCCAAAACCTAGACCCCTAAACCCTACACTCCTAACCCTTAAACGCTCAACCCTAGAGCCCTAAATCCGACTCTCCTAACCCTTAACCCCTAAACCCTAGACCCCTAAACCTTAAACCCACCAAGCCCCTTAAACCCTAACCCCCTAAAACCCTAAACCCTAAACCCCTAACCCTTAAACCCTAAACCCCTAAAACCCTAAACCTTAAATCCCTAAAACCCCGAAACCCTAAACCCCTAAACCTTAAACCCCTAACCATTAAACCCTAAAAACCCCTGAACCTTAAACCCCTAAACCCCTAAACCCTAAACCCCTAAACCCTTAAACCCCTAAAACCCCTAAACCCCTAAACCCTAAAACCCCTAAATGCTAAAACCCCTAAAACCCCCAAGCCCTCAAACCCTAAACCGAAAACCCCCAAACCCCCCTAAACCCTGCCTGATATGAATCCTGCTATTTTGGGGTTATAGGCCCAGGGTTTCTTAATCAGGTTCCTACATTATGTAAAACCTTGGTTACTGAGTCCTCTGATCCTTGAAGTAGTCCATCAGTAAGGAGTCTTCCGAGGAAGGGTGAAGGGGTTCAGGGGTTCAGGAGTTTAAAGTTTAGGGTTCACGGTTCAGGGTTGTGCATCGAGCTTCTCGGCAGGCAGGAAGGCAGTGCCCAAACAGCATTCTGTTCGAAAGGGATACCTCCCCGGCTGCTGCATGTAACCAGGCTTGTAGTTCAGGTATGTGTACAGCACGTCTATGTAATGTAGGGGCCTTAATAATCTATACTTACATTGAACGAACCCCCAACTAGTATTGGCAACTATTTACGACCCTCTGGTACCCTTGTTCCCGAAAATACAACCACAGGCAAGTCGCATGTCTCCGGATAACGAAGTAGAGCGCCTGTTGCGACCCATCCCGAGGGCTCTCAACTCAAAGGGGAAAAGGAGGGACCCTTAATGGGGACCCCAAACCCTATAATGGGCTATATGATGGGTATATAATAGCTATATTAAGGGTATATACCTTGGGGTCCTCATTAAAGGTCCATCCTTTTACCCTTGGATCTACTTTTTAGAAGTACCACAACCCTAAAGAGGATTCCTTGTCGGGTAATTATAAGTCTATCTAGCGGTGGCTTTATACTAGGTTCCTGAGTGACCCCTGAATCATTAGGGTACCTTTCTGCCTGTCAAGGAATTCCAAATTTACTTCTCAGGAACCTAAGCTCTCTAGATCAGTGTCACTCTTTTACATCCTCACGGTGCTCAAACCCGTGACACAGGTCCTCTCAACCTCTGAAACCTCCTGGCCCCACACCAGCATCTACCATGATTCTGAAACATCGCATCTTGCAACCCTAAACCCTTAAAACCCTGAACTAAACCAAGAGCTTCTCTGAAGTACTGGAAGGCGTCCGATGGAAGGCCCTCTTAGGAGAGGGACGCGGAACAAACGTGTCAGCTGTTCTTTTCCTCTCTCGCTGTCTCTATCCCCCCCTCTCTCTCCTCTCCTCTCCTCTCCTCTCCTCCCCTGAACGCTCTCCCCCTCCCCCTCCCCTCTCCTCTCCTCCTCCCCTGAACGCTCTCCCCCTCCCCCTCCTCCCCTCCTCCTCCCTCCTCCTCCCCTCTCCTCCCCTCTCCTCCCCTCTCCTCCCCTCTCCTCCCCTCTCCTCCCCTCCCCTCTCCTCCCCTCTCCTCCCCTCTCCTCCCCTCTCCTCCCCTCCTCTCCTCTCCTCCCCTCTCCTCCCCCTCTCCTCCCGTCCCCTCCCCTCCCCCCCTCCTCCTCCCTCCTCTCTCCTCTCTCCTCTCTGTCTCTCCTCTCTCCTCTCTCCTCTCTCCTCTCTCCTCTCTCCTCCTCCTCTCTCCTCTCTCCCTCTCTCCTCTCTCCCCTCTCCTCTCTCTCTCTCCTCTCTCCCCTCTCCTCTTCCTCTCCCCTCTCCCCTCTCCCCTCTCCCCTCTCGCCGTCCTCCCTCTCCCTCCCCCTCTCCCTCTTCTCTCTCTCTCTCTCTCTCTCTCTCTCTCTCTCTCTCTCTCTCTCTCTCTCTCTCTCTCTCTCTCTCTCTCTCTCTCCTCTCGCTCTCTCTCTCTCTCTCTCTCTCTCTCTCTCTCTCTCTCTCTCTCTCTCTCTCTCTCTCTCTCTCTCTCTCTCTCTCTCTCTCTCTCTCTCTGTCTATACATATATATATATATATGCATATGTATCGATACACACAATTTTGTATGCGTGTATGTATGTCGTATGCATGCATATATATATATATATATACATATATATATATATATATATATATATATATACATATACACAGTACAAACAGCGAAACATGAACGAGCCAATGCAACATCTCATGTAAATATGCAGCACTGAAAACATAATATGCGCTGTATATGTATCATGTAGCATATTCTGATACCATCTTCGTCGTGTAGTCTACTACGTCATATTATATGACGCTCTAATGTGGTATGGTACAATGTCACCGTGCAGGAGATTGCAATGCATATTATATGTGACATAACACAGCATGCACTAGAAGCAATTTACAAACTGGCACAGAATAGGCCGTAAATATCTAATATTGAACAGGATATGACACATGCGTAACATACCAGCACACATGTTTACGTATTTGGACACGTTTTGTTCTTTGCTGTTCCAACGCACAAGTTGTGCTTTGGAGGGTTTAGGGTTTCGGAGCGTTGGCACTTTATCCTACTTGTCGGGTATCATGGGGAACTAAAGGTTAACCAATTGGGCTATATATGGATTATATAGGGACTAGACTACCCAAAAAAGGTTAAAGGTTACCTACTCTACTACTAGGTTATCAACTCGCCAGTTGCATTGGAGATTCAAGGACCAACGAGATGTTCGAAGGACAGCAGACTTTTGACTTAGCGGTTGGGGTTAATAAGATGCGTTTGGGGATGGTTTAAGTAGGTCAGGGGGGTACTAAGCAGGAGGACTACATCAAAAGAGTCCAAGAAGAGACCAGTGGGGTAACTCTACTCATAACCCAAATTAGGGGACTTATAGCCCCACTTGAAACTACCCATGAACCTCCAAGTAAACCTTAAACTCCTTCTCCTCACCTTCGCCGCTCGCAGCTCGTTGCAAACAGTCTCGAAGTGGCTCTGGCCATTGACGGCCAGAACCTTGCTCGGAGGGTCGGGGGACCTACCCAGAAACTCCAAAATCCCTTAATTAAGGAATAGACTTTAAAGTATAATAGGAACCCAAATATGATTTAAGGTACATTCCTTAATTAAGGGGTTTTGGAGTTTCTGGGTAGTAAGTACGACTCCTCAAAGGGACCCTTAACGGTTCCATAATGGAGTGGGGGGAGTAAGGAGGTAATAGGTAGACTTTTAAGTACTGGCGCCTAGAGTGAAGGGCGATCTTCGGTCTTGCTTAGCCTACTTTACTGTTGAAGGCCACTATTATAAGTGAGTCGGCATGGATTTTGCGATGGGCTTCCATAGTATGTCGTAATTATCTGGGAGTTTCCGAAATCGGGGACCCTAATATAGTACCCTCAATAGCAGCATCCTTATTAACAGGACTCCAAGATGAGGAACCCCTTATTTTCGGAAACTCCCATTTGGGATGGTCGTTATGTCTTCCGGGCCCTTGTTTTTTCACAACTCCCTACCGGGCACGGCTCTTTTTGGATGTCGGCGTGTTGAGGAGAGTGTCACATAATATAGCATAGTAGACTACACGATGAAGATGGTACCATAATATGTTACATGCAAGAGCTTAGTTTTTGGGGTTTTAGGGTGTAGGCTGCTCGGCGGCTGGCTCAAAGCTCTATAGCGGTGATTTCATACTAGGTTCTTGAGCGGCCCCCTTGATAAAAAGGGGACTGTTTTTTACAACTAACGGTACTGTCTTTGCAACTATTTTGGTATTAATAATACGGGAACCCAAAAAGAAAAAGGGCAAAGGGGTACTGCTCAGGAACCTAGTAGACCCTAAACCCCTATGGATCCCTTATAGAACCCTTTGGGGTGGTCCATGTGATTTCGCGGAAGGTACCGGTTGTAAGGACGCATGGCTGAGGATGCTATCCTAGGTTCTTCAGTAACCCCACAAGAAGAAGGGTACCCTCTTTCCTACTGCTCAGTTGTACAAAGGAGACCCAAAATAGTAGGGGCAACAGGGTACTACTGAGGAACCTAGATCTCACAGAAACCCAATATCATGCCAGGTTTATGGTTCAGGTTTAAGGGGCCGTTTTTTTTTTTTTTTTTTGGGGGGGGGGGGGGGGTTGAGGTTTCAGGGACTTTAGGGTTGAAGGCATCTGGGGTTTAGGGTTCACGAGAGCTCCTTGTATAAAACCATGAACACACAGGGAAACTTCGAAACAGTAACCAAGAGCCGTCTAGCGTAGACCGTTAACACGTCAACACCCCTGACAACGGGGGCCTGAATAATTCCTCTTACTGTTTGGGTGGTTCCCGATCATATTTATAGTATGATGGGCCCCAAAACCTCATTCTAATTATTCAGGCCCCTACAGTAAACCTTACACATCAACGGCAAACGAAAGTACAAACGACGATCTCAGCTCGGCGCCAGGTCTCCGACCAAGACCACTCTCTGACCCACAATCAGGGAGCCAGACTGCCGGCGCCTTGTTCGGGGGCGTAGGGTATACTTAGAGGATCATGGGACTTAGTAAGTCAGGTTATAAGTAGATTTTAATTAGGATAACCCCACTTAGGGAACTTATAATCCCCATTATAACTTACTTATTAGAAGCTGCCCACACCCTGTAATAGTGGTTTAATCGGAATATAATAGGGGCCCTAATATAATCATATATATAATCCTCATAGTCACTATTACAGGGTGGGAGCAGCTTCTAACTTACTTACTAAGTCCCATGATCCTCTAGGTAGTGTAAGGGTATAATACCTTAGAAGCTGCCCCCCACCCTGTAATATTGGTATAATAGGAATATAATAGGGCCCTAATATCATCCTTATAGTCACGATTACAGGGTGGGGGCAGCTTCTAAATAATACCCCCCAAACCCCATTCTAGTTAGTACTAAGGCCCCTCGATTATGTGGGCTAGGGTGTGTGGTTTGGAGTTCTGGGACGGCTCCAGATCTTGGGGTTTCGACTTGTTCGTTTGTAGCACTGTAGGATCGGAGTTTGAGGCTATGACCCTGGAGGTGGCCGAGTTGGCGGATGCTTTCAATCATACGGGGACAGTCTTTTGCACGATGTCCCATGCCTTCGCAATAAAGACAATTACCACAACATGTCAAAACATCCTAAGCTCTACACCCTCAGCCGATTGCTGAATCCCAAAACTTAGCACTGAAGTACGTTTCAAGGAACCTCAAGGAGCCCCCCCACACGAAGTAAAGTCGGTCGATGATGAGGTTAAAACTAGAATAGAAGCTGCCCCCACCCTGTATAAGTGACTACGGATTAAATTAGGGCCCTATAATATTCCTATTATACCACTACTACAGGGTGGGGGCCGCTTCTAAGGCTAACACAACTTCGAGGTCAAAGACCTGTCATGGTCTTTTCACAGCTACTTGGAGGGTCGGGGGACTTAGTACGTAGTTGTCTTACAGAGTTTTCGGTATCACCTGTCTGGGAACTCATTATGCCACTTGTTCCCTGCTTACAACTTCCACGAAAACCCCACAAAACTAAAGCCCGAAATCCCAAAAATCTTCTCCACTTGTTCTCCCTAAACCCTAAACCGTCTACTTATATAGTCGTACGCAAACCCCAAAACTCCAAACACACACACGCACTCCGAAGTTTCCTGGTATCTATCGGGCTTCCGTTAAAGGTTTCTGCAACTCGTTCCTTGTAAAAGGGGTCTAAAAAGGTTTCAAAGGTAAGGCTTCTTATCTTACTCCCTCAACAAACCACAGAAACAAAAGGTTAAACTTTCCGAGTCCTCTTAAACTATAAGAACCCAAAAAGTTTAAAGGTTGGGCATTGGGGATCATAGGCTTCTTATGGAGGTTCAGTACGGCACCTAATACTTAAGGTGCCCAAAAAGGGATCCTAATTTTGACAACTACCCATATAGTCAGATCCCTAAATATTATCATTAGTGTTCTTTAAAGGGCCTGTAAATTCAACCCTGGACCTGCTTGGCACGCCTCTCCACCTCCTTCTTCAGCTGCCCCGAGACGCCCTGGGCTGGGTTTGTACTGGGTCCAAGGGTTTAGGGACCAACAAAATAACTAGGTTCCTGAGTGGCCCCTAAATGATAAGGGTACGCTTTCTACTGCTACTTGGTTTTAACAAGGGAACCCAGAAAGAAAAATGGCAAAAGGGTGCTACGCAGGAACCTAGTACAGGGCCTAGAGGGGTTTGTGGACGAGGGCAAAGTTCAAGAAATACAAAGTCTGGCACGTGGGCTTAGGCTTGAGCGCGTTCTGCGTGAGGGCATTCAAGGTGCTGGTGATGGTGTTTGTGGGGGGGGCGGAGGCGCCCCAGAAGGTAAGCAGCAGTACAGGATGTTTAGAAAGCTCTACACAAGAAAACATGGCTGAAGCTAAACAAGAGCAAGTAACCAAGACCCTTACAGCTTTCTGGGTAGTTCAACCTCTAGGTTCCTCAGTAACCCCTTAATAATAAGGGTTCCCTTGTTCCTAACACTCAGTTCCAACAAGGAGACGCCAAACTAAAACGAGCAGAGGGGTTACTACTCAGGAACCTAGACCCTCAGGAAAGCCTACAGCCGCGATAGTAAAGCCACAGGCTTGCATCACATTGCAAAGCCCATAAGCCCCCCCCCCCCCATAAAGTCCGAAAGAACCCACAAATCCCTAAACCCCAAAAAACCCCTGAAAGCCCGAACACCGTAAACCATCCTAAACTCTGAACATACCCTATAGATCCCTTTAGAGAATCCTCTAAACCCCGAGAACCCTAAACCTGAGGCCACGTTGCGGTTACCACGATCTGATCCCCATCCAAGAGCCGGAGCTGCAGGCCTGGCGGGAGCCTTTAAAGGGATCTGTAGGGTTCCTTTAAAGGGATCTATAGGGTTCCTTTGAGGGGATCTATAGGGTTCCTTTAAAGGGATCTATAGGGTTCCTTTAAGGGGATCTATAGGGTTCAGGGTTTAGGGGTTTAGGGTTAGGGTTTAGGGCCGGGAGGATCTAGAAAGCAGATCCCCTAATTTGGCATTTGGGGCCCTATACTACTAAAGGTACTTTTCAGGAACCCCCAGTAAGGGATCTACGTTTTGGATCCTCCCGGTAGTAAGGAGGTTGTCAGTAGACTTATAGGTACCCTAAAAGGGATCCTATTTGGGGTTATGGTACTTACAAGGCTATAAATAGAACTACTCACTAGGTCGCCCGACCCTCCAAGTGGCTGCTCGAAATCCACCGGTTTAGGGGTTTAGGGTTCTTGGCTTCTAGGATTCAGGGTTTAGGGGTTTTTAGGGTTCAGGGTTCTAGGCTTTTAGGGTTTAGGATTCAGGGTTTAGTTTGTTTGCGTGCTGGTGTGTTTAGGGCTTTAGGGCAGTCAGTTCTAAAGTTCTAGGGTTTGAGATTCAATGGTTTAGGGTTTAGGGCTCTAGGGTTTTAGGGTCTAGGATTGGGCTTGGGGCTTTAGGGCTCTAAGGTGCTAGGCTTTAGGGCTCCAGGGTTTGAGGGTTGGGGTTTAGAGTTTTAGGGTGGCGAGAGACACAATTCGAGGATTTTTTGCATCAAGCGGCTCCCGGAAGCATCGAGGTTTGGAAGTTTCCGAAGATTAGGGGTACCTGATTTTTGGGGTCCTTGTAATAAGGATCCCACTATTTGAGAACCTATATTAGGGTCCCCTATTTTCGGAAACTCCCATTTGAGGAAAGGTTTCTAGGAGCGCCGGGAGACTTAGTAAAAGATCCTGATTGAAGTTATGATACTGGACAGTCTCTACAAAAGCTACTAGTACTAGTCGTCTCTAAGTGGATACCCAAACCCTACACCCTAAACCCCAAACGCCCGAACTCAAACCCATAATTATGGTACAGGAGAAAAATCCTCCCAAAACCCTACTCTAATTGTTAAGCCCCCCTTTCATATGGTACCTTATAGTACCCTTATCGTATCCCTTAAGGGCGCCCTTCACAGGAACGCCCCTCCGTGCCTAAGGGGCCGTCCTTCCTGTGGAATGCCTCGGACGGCTCCAGTTGAGGCTTTGAGATTCGTGGATCAAGCTTAATATAGGGGCCTTAAGAATTAGCACAGGGGTCCTTTAAAGCGTCCTTCAAGGGAAACTATACGGGATCTACAGGGTGAAAAATATAAGGGCCTTAATGATTAGAATGAGATTTTGGGGGTATATTTTATCATAATTATGGTAAGGAGCCGCCCAAAACAGTATGGGTAATCATTTAGGCAGCTCTATCCTACTTCCCGATAACCCCAGGGCTTAAAAAGTTCAGACTTTCAGAATAAGACTACCTCAGAAGAGCCCAAAAGTTGAAAAGTTGGGTCTTGGACCGATCGCGTATTGCACTTGGGGTTTGGGGTTTAGGGGTTGAGTCTCGGTGGTTTCAATACATCCCTCCACCGCCTAGCCAACACTTGGAGGGCCGTGGGAAATAAGTAGAGTGGTAGGTGTACTAAAAAGGATCCTAATTGGGTTATGGTACTTCTAAGTCCCGAAAATAACTAGCTACTAAGTCCCCCGACTCTCCAAGTAGCTACTGCTATTGCGACGTCTCCCAGTGTTGCAGTCACGAGCCAGCACGGCCTGTCTTGACTAGAACTCATGAGGCGTTGCATCTGCTGCTAGGTCTTGTTGCATCTTCGCGGTTGTTGATGTTCATTCTACAGCTCTGTAGATGGCGGTGAGCATATGATTGCTTCAGCGGTAGCTGCTGCTGATTGTCGTGATGATGCTGACTGCGAAGGTGCTGCTGCTGATGAAGATGACCTGAAGGAGAATGTTGCTGATGGTGATGGCTGTGGCGATGATGCTGCTGATCATCTAGGCGAAAATTATAGTGACGATGATGCTGATGATGACGACTATGACGACGACAGGGCTGATGACTGATGATGTTGCGTTTAATCGTAAGAAAATCTCATGAATCATGTGTGACGCACGAGCTGGGATTCTCGCCTCGAAGCATAATACAGGAGTCTGATTAAGTAACCTTGGGCCTCCAGAGGGCTTTATACGGATCTCAATATCGTGGGGTTCCAGGACCAGGGTTTCTTGGTTGCTACATGGCTGTCGTTATGATCAACATAATTAGGCTTCAACGCCAAAAGCTAGATGCGAATGCGTCCTCAGCACAGAAAGCTTGAAGCTGTTGGAGGGGGGGTTTAAGATTCTTGGGGTAGGGATTGCTTAATATGATCCCTTTTGTGGGGGTCCCTACTAAACCCGCACAGGCGAAAACCTTTTTTCGGCCTCCTATGAGCTGTACAGTATACAACAACTGAACAGGCGGTCGTTTCTTGATTGCCTTGCGAGCTCTGTTTATTCATCATCTGGAGATCGTGAGCAGCAAAACCCCGCCACCTCATATTGCTATACTATACTGTACTATTCTATACTTTTCTAGACTATACAGTGATATAGAATACTTTTCCGTGCGATGCTAACCTATGCGATACTAAACTGTACTGTACTATACTAATTATTGGGTTTATGGGATATCTTTCCAGACCCTCCGGTAAGCCGTACGTGCGCAGTTGACTGGACCAACACCGGACAACCAAGGACGCACGCCAACAACCCCCGAGAATCCATGAGAGCCCAAAGCACCCTCCTTAGGGAATTTACCTTAACCTTTAGGGCTTCAGGGGTCTTTGACTTTGATTTCAGGTGCTTGCTTGAAATGCGGGCTATGCCGCTCTCTGGGCATATCGTAAGACGTCTCAAGTTCACCTCTGCAGCCAAGACACAAATATGAAATCTCTACCCAGGAGCGCCATCTCGCATGGCCAGCCGCAATGGCCGCAAAGCTGCTACAAGTAGCCCCGAGTCGGAATCCTTTTTCGGTATTGGGTGGTTCTTGGTGTTGGTCTAGTCGCTCGGATTGTTGCGTTGCATCAAGCGCCTTATTCAGGTTTGTGGGTGATTCAGAACTGCGAGTTGTGGGTTCATGTAGGCTGTTCGGTGTTCACTGGTTTGGTTTTGGGCCTTGGCTTCATGAAACTGGTTTGTAATGTAAGAGCTTCCTAGTCCCAATCCACCTTAAGTCCGCTACCACAAAACCTTTCTTTGAGGTTGTCTATGTCGCTTTTCGCTCTTCGTCGACGGGTTTTCGCGTTCGTCAAAAAACCTTATTCTAATGATGATGGTCAGTAAATTTGTTTACGGCAGTCTGGGCCTTTTTGAACACAAAGAAGCTCCACGAAAAGGAGGTGATACCGTGATCTGACATGTTCAAGAATCTTAGAACGAAGACTGGCAGACTCTGCACCTCTCCTTTACGGGTTCCACAAAGAATCCTATCGGGCTTCCGGAAAGGGGTTCTATGCCCTACAGGTTTCGGGTGTCTTTCAAGGTGCTTCCTGTGTTGGGATCTGGCTTCCTTTACAGGATTTCCGGGAAAACTAATTATGCTTCTAGGAGGAGAGACAATAGTCCAACATAGCAATACAGTAGTAATGTGAATCAGAAGTTCGATAGCAGTATTAAGCGCAATAATGATAAGCGAGGTGGTGAAAGAAGGCTGTTGGTCAATAGTGCTATGCGTCCTGGCCAGGTTTACTGCAGGATTCTCTCAGGCCTTGACTAGGTTCCCCTGCAACCCCTTAACAATACTCCGGGTACCCTCAGTTTTAATAAGGAGACCCCAAACTAAAAAGGGTGGGACTACTCAGGAACCTGGTTGATGGATCAGGACTTAAAGTGCACCTCAACCGCAACTAGGGTCTAGGATTTACGGTGATCCACAACTGGTCTTCAGCTTTTAGAGGTTGCTCTACATTGACCGGTGCATGCTTGCCGCGTTTGCATGTGTTCAATAAGATGTGCCTGGAGGCTTCATTTACACCTTTGCTTTAGAGCTCTTCCGACTTGACTCCTTGTTGTACGGACGCTAAGCAGGGTGCATGTACATTTACGAACCTCCCCCCAAAGCCTTAGTAGCCAGAGGTGCCACAAAAGAGGGAGCTTCCCACAAGCACCTTTTTCCTCCGGGAAAAACGACCTGCTTGAAACGAGTTCATTACAAATCTACTATAGGAGCCTGAATAACTAGGCGAAGACCAATATTCAGGTCTGTCTTTTGTCGTGGGATAAAGTCAATTATTCAGGCCCATATAGTACGCGGCCCTGCTGGCAATGGTGCTTATGCTGGACTCTGCACGCTGTTTGCATGGCTGAGGTCCTTTGTCTAGACCCTACATTTCCGGCTTACACGTGAACAGCTGACATCTAGGCCCTGAATCCTCATTGAGAGCCCTAGTTAATCAGCCACACTCAGTTAGTAAGGTTTACAAGGGGAGCCTACGCAGACCCTCAAGGTGAGGGCGGTTGATTAGTCAGGGCCTGAATATAGGGGCCTTATAGGGTTTGGGGGTACGTTATACCATAACTGTAGTAAGGAACCCCAAAACACGGTTTTAACTATTAAACATTGCATATACCCAGGTCCTAACCCAAGAACCCTACACGCTCACCTTGCGGTTTCTACTAGGAGGGTCGGGGGGCTTAGCAGGTAGTAAGTAGACCTATAAATACCCTAATCTAAGAAGGATATTAACTGTGGGTCTGATACTGATATGTATACAAAATCTCTACTCACTAGGTCCCTCGACCCTCCATTATAGTCATATTAGGACATACCACAAGAAAACAACTCTTGTACCTATTTTCGCTCCGATATTACCGATCCTTTGACTCGCAGTTCGCTGTGCAGTGCCAGCAGGACGCTCAAAAGATGGCTCGAGTGGTTATCCATAGGGAACTCCTTTGGTTGAGGGTTTCGGGGTTTGGGGGTTAGGATTTTCAGACGTAGGGTTGCTGAAAGAGACGTGGGATGGGGGGTCTTAATGCAAGGGTCGTTTTTTTGAGGGCCCTTCTATTCAGTATTCAGGATTCCATTAGTTTAGGGTCGTAACTCGGGTCGAGTTAACTTAACTTGAAGGGTGGAGTAAGAACTTTACGAGATTGATATTGCTGAGAGCCTCCAGGAAAAATCTTGGCCAGTAGTCAGGCTTCTATATTGGTTGGGCCTGGCCCTGCCAGTTGAAAGGCCTGGAGGAGAAGAGTAGAGCTCAAACGGAGACCGTGGCAGACAATTCGTGTAAGGTCAGTTGCTGGATGCTGTAGATAAAGTAAGAAGCCTTGCAGCAGCAGTAGGTCGAAAAAGGGTTTAATGTGCTCCCGGAGGCTTTCACCAGGATCCAGCCGTAATTTTGTCGTTTCGTCATTTTTTCAGGGTTTAGGGAAACGGGGTTGAGCGTCTAGCTTTGGCGTGTTGGGGATCGGTAATCCCTTTGGCGACGTGGTTTTGTACGTATTCAAGTGTCCAGGGCTCAGGAAGGGAATTCCAGCTGTTGTTTAGGGTTGGGTTTACGGAATAACCCCGGTCAGCTGCAGAACAAAGATAAACACACTTTTGATGTTCTCGTGGGTTTTATGTGAACAAAAATGAAATTAATTCCTAAGAAGACTACAGACTAGCGTTTCGGGGCAGCTTGGATTTCGGAGGTTTGATCATTTGAAACTCTACCTGCTTTATCGGTCTTTTGTTTGTTTTTCAAGCTGTTCCGCGTTATGGTTTTGCGGCTTGGGGTTTGGGGTTGAGGAGCAAGGGAACTGACACTATAGTAACCTTATCATGACCTTGAAGCAGGCTTGTAAGCTCACGGTAACTTCGGAGAATCACCGGCTTCGGTAGTGAACCCTTGTAAGGAAAGCCATAATTCCTATGTGGGACCTCGCGCGATAATTCCGATAATTTCGAAACTGGACTTTCTTCTTCGTTTTTTGGCCTATGACATGTGGACTTACGGCATAAGCCGCTACACGTACAGGTCAATGCTTCGGGATCATTGTAGCAAGGCTACGCCTTCTATTAATCAAGAAATACACGCATACAACATGATCATACCAATATGCATATACATATACATATACATGTATGTGTGCATATACATATACAGATACATATTGTGATATCATGTTACAATATTATATACATATTTGTATACATCCATGTTTGTGATTTAGTTTAAAATAGGATACAATAATCTAGTGTAAATACAAAACTTTCACTGTAGTTGCAGGTTTGGGTTGTAAGGCTTAGACGATTCAAGTTTAGTTTGAGCCCGAGTTACGATCGCCTTAGGGTAACTAGGATACCCAGTAACCCAAGAATAAAAAGGCCTCTCTTTTTGGTATTGGGTAACTTTAAAAGGAACCTAGGACTACAAAAAGGGAATAAGGGTACTACTGGGCATCCTAGTACAGGTGACAGGGTTGACCTAACTATCTATCAGCCCACGAGAAATTTGCCGATGAAATTTCAAGCATCACTGCGTCATGCTTTCACCAACAATTCCTGGACCGCAGTGGGCTGCTTTAAAGACCCGTTTCATCGACCGTTTTCTACTCAGCTCTGCTTGGCTTGGGGTTAGTTTCGGGGTTCATTCTGCAGGATGTTGGGCCTAAGCTCTCGGGTGGGAGTGGCTGTGTGCAGGAGAATAGCATGGCAAAACTGAGATACAACGGATCTCGAGCGCAATTGAAGGATGACTGGCCTGACTAAGTCGGATCTATTTGCGGAAATCAGTATCCCAGTTGGGCTTATCCTCCCCGGAGCGTCGAACAGAGGGGCCTCAATAAGTAGAACAGGTTTTTTATTGGGTTGATTATACTGTAAGGATAGTACCCCGATCCCTGAACCCCTAAACCCTGAAATCAGTAACCGCCGAGGACACTCTTGGCAATTAGGCAGGCTTCTATATGGGAAGTTCCCTAAATTGGCGTACCTTTGAAGATTCTCTTTTGATGAGGGTGCCGTACTGTTTGGGGGACCGAAAATTCGACCCGCAAAAGCCAGCAGCAGAAACAGCCAAAGTTTACGGTCCTGCGGTTGCCTGAGAGAAAGAACGGCCAGAAATGCGCCCTTGCTAGGAAGCTACCGTGAAGTGGCCGATATTCTGGAGGATTGCGACATTCGTCAGAGGTGCACTTCTAGACCTAAGAGTAAGCTAGGAATAAACCAGGAGGGACCACTACCAGACCTTGGCAGGAAATCGAAAACACAACATTTCCTCAATCCCAAGACTTTCAACGACACCCCAAACCCAAAATCCTACTGTAGACTGAGATCCCTCGCCCTCGCCGAGAGTCGGAGCACGAATGATGCTGTGCACGCGAAGGGTGTAGGGTTTAGGTGTTTTGGGTGTAGGGCTTTGGAAGTTAGGGTGTACTCGTTACTCAGGCCACTGTCTTATCTAACTTTCTGTCAAAGGACACTTGCAAAACCCTGTCCCGGTTTGCGTGTCTTGAAACGACCCAGTTTCCCTGAAGCCTTGAAACTCTGAACATGAAACCCTGAACCCTAAACCTGAAAACCTGAACCCTAAACCTGCAACCCTAAACCCTAAACCTGAAACCATAAAGCCTTCAAACCCTAAAGCCTTCTTACCCTAAGCCCGAAACCCTAAAACCCCAAAACCCTAAACTTGAAACCCTAAAGAGAAAGCTAGGCGGGGCTTTTGAAGCTTTTGAAAGATGTTAGTAGATAAGATCCTCTTAAGCCCAATAAGGGAAAATATAAAATGTCCGTAAGCCCTACCCTACTTGGAGGGTCGGGGGACTTCGTAAGTAGGTAGTAAGTAGACTTATAAGTACCCTAAAAGGGATCCTAATTGGGGTTATGGTACTTATAAGTCTCCAAAATAACTAGTTACTAAGTCCCCCGGCCCTCCAAGTAAAGAGAAAGGCAGGGGCGCCCCTAGTACTCCCTAAGGTT